GCGAGTCTGATTTATAGGACTTGTACTGAATAATATGGTAAAGTTTTAATTATAACAGCGTCGCACAAACATTTAACCGATCGCACATTTTAGATATGTCATACTTTGTTCCTTATTTGTCAAAGAAGATCGTATTACTTAAACACTATCTTCACTGAGTAAAAATTTTGGCTATTTTAATTTGTTTGAGCCTATCATTACCCAAATTATAACATTGGAAGTAAATAAAAAAAAAAATTATCAGTAACAATGATTATGTATGCATGCCGTTTACGGTAATCGCTTACCAAATCTGCACATTGCAGATGCAGATCCAATTTTATTAACGACAACCCCCAGTATATATACGTACATACGTACATATATATACACACAAATATAACTGCCAGTTTCGCATGTTTTGACGTTTTTTTTGTAACAAATGATATCCGAAGACAATTCCTCCTGCCACCCAAAGGCTGCCATGTCGACTAGCCTCAATGTCATGGACCCTATGCAGATCACCACGTCTGCCACCAGCAGACGAAACTTGTCTACGCTGGAGGACTTTATCAGCGTTATTTCTCAAACCATGTCTTCTGCAGCCCCAGCTGTTCAATACCCGTACGGAATGGATCGAGGTATTCCCAACGACGCAAAGATACAGTACGCCATGTACTATGTCGACCAAGGTTTGCAAAGATTCCCAGATTCTTACGACCTTAAGGTATGTTCGGACGGCTGTCTCATCGAATCTTTGTAACAGATAGCGATCGATCCTCTTGATCTTTCTTTGCACATCGCAAGTGTTCCTTCATAATCGATAGTTTCAAGCCTAACTCTAGGCTTGTAGCCATATGTATACGCGTAAATGCATATAATCGACGTCTCGGAACTTAACCAGTTTTCTCACATTTTCCCCAAACCCATCTTTGAAACACCAACCATTAACATTATGCTTATGGTTGTTGCGTTGTTCATGTCAAACATAACGAATCATGGTTTCCAGTATTTTGCCCACAAAATTGCCGTCAGACAAGGAAATATGTCAAAAGCTACCGAGTTCTTTATGTCCTTGTGAGTATTATTCTATTTATGGCTTATGCTCTGCATACAACACTTCTCAATTTCTCATATCGTATCATAACCCCAGACGCAGACTATATAAAGATCACGAGCCATTCAAAGAATATCTTGCACAAATAGCTCATTCTGTTATTAATACACATGCGGATGAAAATTTCTGTAAGTATATCAGGATCCGTACGATTCAAAACGCTATCGAATGATACGCTTGTATCTGTTAATGAAGAGTTACGCGTACATTCATCTCGTACACAACATGCTACAACCTCAAGTTTGTGTTTCCACTACATTATATTCTGTCTTGTTAGACAAGAAAGGCATATAAGATCAGAGAAATGAACCCACAGTAACCCTCGGTTGACTCTCTGTTTATTCTCCTTTCCTTCCCCTCCCTCATACAGCATTTTTCATAGAACTACCTTCGGACATAAG